CGGCCCACAAGTACGCCGGCGGGGAGCGGGCCCGGCGCCTCGCCCTCGCCGGCCGCCGCCCCTCCCTCGGCGTGGAAAAAGCAAAGATCATTAAGGAGCGACTGCACTTCCTGCTCTGATGAAGGACGCTCTCGGCGCGAGCGTGTCACCAATCTACTAAAGTGCAATGCACGTAACTTGACGCACCATCAGCGGCCCGGGGAAAAAGGCGCCTAATTTTCATTTAAACTAAGTGATCGACTACATTTAGTGCCGAGGCTTAAACTTGTTGATACGGGAACCAGCCAGTGAGCCTCGGATGCTTAACTTTCGATTAGCGGCGTTCCCATCCAAGCAGCAACTAATTTGTTGGCGCTGCCGCCCGGGTACGATAATTCACGCGGGCGTTCGGGACAACAGGTAAACACAAGGGGGTGATCCGTACACGCGCGCTCGCGGACTCATTAATCTGATGGAATGTTTAGAGTCCTCGCGAGCCCGTCCCGCTTTTAAGAGTGGCTGGGGATCATAAGGAAATGGAGAGTATATTTCCACGTCGCCCGCGGCACGGCGGGACGCCCCTCACGCCCCTACTTCGGCGCTCCTTAGTCTAATCTCGCAACGGCCTCCGCCGGCGCCGTCGGCAGGCACGGCCGCACACTCATTTCGCGATGGACGCAATCTGCGCGAGGTGGCGGGAGGAGAAGAAAGAAAAACGGCGAAGGAGAAAGGGCGGAAGGGCGGGCGGGAGAGCGTGTATTGTATCTCGGAAGGATGCTTAAAGCGGCACCTGCCAGCGGCACGACAACAATCGCGGCTCTTTTCCTTTCGCGAATTTCCCGAATCGGCCGCCGCGGCGCCGGGGGAGGGCCTCGCCGAGCATCATCAGAGATACCGCCTTAATTTTCTTTTAAAAAATCTAATTGAATAAATGGGTTTTAATGGCGGGCATCCTTTTTAACTTGTACAAATGAGGCATAAGCGATTTCCCAAGGTGAAATTAATTGCAATCAAGGGGGTGGTAAAACTCGAAAACGATGGGCTGGGGAGAGCGGCTCCTTGGCGCGCCTCGGATGCCAGCGGCAAAGGCTTCCGTGTTATTTACAAATTATTTTCTCAATCCCCAACTGGCGAGTCTTAATGTAATCCAATGGTGAAAAACGGCGCCCCAGGAGGCTCTTTAACGTCGGCTGGCTGTTTGCAGCCTAGTGATTAAATGCATAAAGAAATTGTTCTAAAGAAGGCCTCGCGCGGCCAGGTGCGGGGCTGGCAACACCGCTGTGGGTATAACAGCTCCGGTAGGCGTAAATCAAGTCGCACTTAGTCGAGTATTAATCCACAGAGCGGGATTCAATCCTCTGTGAAAGCTCTTGCAAAGAGGTTAATGATAGCTTGGCCTTTCTTGCGCCTTCCCTCCCCCCTTTTATCAGGCTTTATTTATTCCGCTTTCACCCTTCCTCCTTTTCTTCTTCCGGCGATGCACTTAGACTATATGACCTTGATTCCCAAGTTTAGAAATTTACATAATCTATAACCCCCCCTCTTCCCCCTCCTCTCTTTTTTTCCCCTTTCCTACCTTTTTTCTACGCATGTTATCCTCTTCTCTCTCTCTCTCTCTCTCTCTTTCTTTTTCGCTTTTTTCGTTATCTGGCCTCCTTAATACGGGTTTGGTGACGGTAGAGTTCTCAAATGCACGTTTATTGACGGGAAAGTCGCCTTTAATGAACTTGGCTAGAGGGAAATCGATGCAGGGCGCTGATTACAAACTCTATCAATCTTGGGGTGAGAGGGAGAGAGGGGAAGGAGAGGGAGCGAGAGAGGAAGAGAGGAAGAGTGGGAGAAAAAGAGGGAGATGGAGAAAGAGAGAAGGAAGAAGGAGAAAGTGAAGGAAGATAAGGAGGATAAGGAGTAGGATAAGGATAAGGAGAGGTAGATAGATAGATAGAGAGAAAGAGAGAGATGAGGAGAGGAGAGAAAGAATACAAGAAAGGATAAAAGAAAACAAAACGGAGGAAAGGGAATATAAGAAAGCATGAGGTAGAACCAAAATGAGAATGAGGGAATGTGAGAAAGCGAGAGTGAGAAAGCGACAAAGAGAGAGAGAAAGAGAGAAGGCGAAAGACAGAAGGGGGGGAATACGAGAAAGAGAGAGAGAGAGAGAGAGAGAGAGAGAAAGCGAGAAAGAGAGAGAAAGGGAGACGAGGAGAGGCCGAATATCGAGTAATACAATATTCCCGTCATCCCTTTGCTTTTAAACTTTTCCCTCCGATCCCTCGCCCGGCGGCCGCCCCTCGGCCTACGTCGGGCCCAATGAGCGCGCGCCCCAAGACGAGGGCGAGGAGAGGAGGAGGAGAGAAGGAGGAGGAGGAGGAGGAGGAGGAGGAGGAGGAGGAGGAGGAGGGGGAGGAGGAGGAGGAGGAGGAGGGGGAGGAGGTGGAGGAGATGAAAGATAATCACAGCAAGATAAAGGAAGAACAAGAATGCAAGAAAAACAACGACGACGACCGAAGAAAGCCCCTTG